CCCCCCCACACACCTTTCCTCGGCCGGCTTCTACCCCCCCCCACTCCAGCCAAAGGTCCACCTGAATCGGTACTCCCTCTCCTTACCTGCCCCCTTCCCCCACACTCCCTCTCCCCCCACCCCGAAATGCAGAGGACAAAGACCCCTCCTCGCTCTGAATCCAGCCAGGCTGGCCCCCTTCCTGCCTTGCAGACCAAGCCCCCACCCCCCCCATCCCAAGTCAAGCCTCGGGGCTCCAAAGTGGCTCCGGGAACCTCCTGGGATGAATCCCGAAATCCCCTCTTCTCTTTTGCCCAGTTTCCAAAGCCGGCCTTGCCCGCCTCTACCAGCGCTTCCAGGCCTTGGACAGGGACGACAAGGGCTACCTGAAGTAAGTGGGAAGGGGGGGGGCTGGGGAGGGGGGAGAAGGCACAACTTCAAAGCTTAAATTTTTTTTTTTAATCCCTGTTTCCTAACCATCATATCAGTTTGCATTGACTTGAAATGTGCAGCTGGTTATTTCTTAGGATTAGTTTCAAACAAACCACCTTCCAAACATGGGTTATGATGTGCGACAGGTGACCGCGTTAAAATTGCAGGCAGGAAGCCAGAAGGATAAACCAATGAATTTCTCTTGGGCAACGGTTTTCTGGTTTTTTTTTAAACCCTTTTCAAAAATGGAGAAAGCAAGTGACGCCCTTTAAAAAGTTGGTGAAAACCATCTTAGGAAAATAACAGAAAAAGAGCGCAAGGGAGAAATCACTTCCCCTGGTTTAAAGCCGGAATATTAAAATTTAAAATTTTTAAAAAAGCTTCAGGAAAATATAATGCAAATCTATGAAAATGAAAACTATGAAAATTAAAACTATGAAAATTAAAACTATGAAAATAACTCCAGGAGAGAATAAGACAAATATAGAGACGGTAGTGCTTGACTTACAACCATTTGATTAATGGCTGAACAAAAAGCAAGGAAAAAAGAGACTTGTGACCGTTTTTCACACTTAACGACCATTTCAGCATCCCCACGGTCACATGATCAAAGTTTGGATGCTTGGAAACTGATTCATATTTATGACGGTTCATATTTATGATCCCCTCTTGCGACCTTCTGACAAGCAAAGTCAGTGGGGAAGCCAGATTCACTTAATGACCGTGTGACTAACTCAACGACTGTAGGGATTTGCTTAACAACTCTGGTAAGAAAGGGCGTAAAATGGGGCAAAACTCACTTAACAACGGCCTCGCTTAGCAACAGAATTTTTTTTAGTCAATTTTGGTCGAGGATTACTCGTCATAATCCTTACCTGAGGGTGCTGTTTTTATTTCTTTAATAAGACGCAGCACCGGGCTAACGGTCTCCAAGGTTGTCCCCTTAAAAGGCCACTCCGCAACTTCTCATTTTTACGGGGAATTTTGTCCCCTTTCCCATCCTGCCTTATTTGCCTTGCTCTATAAATTGAGGGCCCTGGGAAGAAGCTGGGTTTTTTTTTCCGAAAACAACTCTGCCACCCTGGTTGCAAACAATGCCTCGGCAACAGGTAGTCATCAGCTGGAAAACAGCAGGTTCCAGAAGAAAGCGGAACCAAAGGAGCCGATATTTAGATAAGCATCTCAAAATACCTCTTTGTTTTGGAAACAGGAAACTTTGTCCAGCTTTATTTTATTAGGACAGGCTGGCATCTGCGTTTGATTATTTGTGTGTCCGGTTCCCACCCTGTTCTCCTCTCATTCACACCACCCTGGAGCACATCTGAGCAAAACAGCCGAACATATTAGAAAATGCAACTAATTCTGATGTGAATCTACAGCTTAAGCCAGGAGTGTCCAACCGTGGCCATTTTAAGACCTGTGGACTTCAACTCCCAGAATTCCCCAGCCAAGCTTTGCTTGCAGATTTGTGGACTTCCAATTCCCAGAATTCCAAAGCTGGCTGGGGAATTTTGGGAGTTGAAGTCCACAGGTCTTATTGGCAAAGACTGGACACTCCTGGTTTAAGCGGTTGCTGTAACTTTTTTTCCTCTTTTGCTCTTGATAGCCGATACGATTTGGAAGGGATTGGCGAGTTGGCCGTGAATCCTATTGGAGACCGGATCATCAACGCCTTCTTTCCGGACGGGTGAGTCAACTAGGGAACATCATCAGTGCTAGAAGAGAGAGAGAGAGAGAGAGAGAGAGAGAGAGAGAGAGAGAGAA